TCAGACGAAGAAGATGAGCCGGCTAAGTCCAGGAAAGACGATGATGATGATGGACTGGGGTTGGTTTTTCAGTTTTTGCAAACATTAAGTAGTCGAAAATTGGATTTAATAAAGATATCTCTAGTTTCACTTAGTAAAAAAGAAGAACCTAAGGATTAAGGCTTACTGTTGTCGATAGAAGGATAGTACTAGTCAAATCATAATTAAATTTCTTGAGGTGGTGGTTTTCATGTCTCAAAAGAGGAAGGAGTTTTAGTTAAAAATTTATTGATCTCTCGAAACATAAGTGGAAAAATTCTTATTTCCTCATACCGTGATAATCTGGTCAACGCTGAAGTAGAGCGCAAAATGTCAGGAAATGGGGAAACCCATAGCACATTCACAGCATTGTGACTCATTGTGGTAGTCTTTCCCGATTTTCCAGATCGGATGTCTCTTCGTCATCATCAAGTGAAGAAGATGAACCAAAAAGTAAACGAAGTCGTCGGAAGCGTAAGGAAGACCAGAACGAGGAACTAAATCCTCGACGAAAGAAGCTAAATGCTGCGGAGTTGGAGAAAAGTGAAGAAAACTGCTTGAAGATTATTTTTCAACAATTTTTAAAAAAATATTTTATTTTCCTTTAGTTGACGCAGCCGCAGCTGTAGGAGATGATACGGTGTTCAAATGGGCGGATTACTTTGGAGAGAACAACACGCTCTTTGTTGTTGATGCCAAAAAGAAGGGTAATGTTGGAAGGTGAGAGAAACCTTTGGTTAGTTATTATTCTCTCAACTACTCTATTCCAGATTTTTGAACCATTCATGCGACCCGAATGTCCAAGTGCAGCATGTATTTGTGGACACGCATGATCTGAGACTACCTTGGTCATCGTTCTTCGCAATAAGGAATATCAAAGCAGGAGAGGTACCGCTTTCGTTTTTACTTTGTTCGTATGATGCTATTAACTTTCTCTACTTCTTCACTTTTTTCAAGATGAAATCAAAATTATGTAGGAATTGAAGCTTGTTCAGATCTTAGTACGATTTCCATGTTTGTACACTCATTGTTTAGAATGTAACGAATTGTAGAAGAAAATGGTTTGGA